TCAGCTTCATCAGCTTCATCGCCTTCATCAGCTTCATCAGCTTCATCCCTCCTGTCGATTCTTCCTCTGCAGGTGAAAATGTTCCGACGGCTCTGGAGGTTAAAAGGCGCCGTCGTCCTCGTCTGCAGCCCGTTCGTCCTGCTGCCCCTCGCAGTCAGCACCAAGGTGACACTCCACACCACTCAGCTGTTGGACTAACCAGTTAGATTAACCAGTTGTTAGATTAGCCAGTTAGATTAACCAGTTGTTAGTCAAACTTGTTAGATTAACCTGTTGTTAGATTAATCAATTAGATTAACCAGCATTGAGATTAACCAATTGTCAGATTAACATGTTAGATTAACTAGTTAATAGATTTACCAGTTATCATATTAATCTGTTCGATTAACCTGTTGTTAGTATAATTTGTTATATTAGCCAGTATTTAGATTAACCAGCTGTCAGACTAACCAGTTAGAGTAACAATTTAGATAAACTTGTTGTTAGATTAACCAGTTAGTATAACTAGTTGTTAATCAGTTAGATAATCAACACTGAGATTAACCAGTTGTTAGATTAGCCAGTTAGATTAACCAGTTGTTAGTCAAACTTGTTAGATTAACCTGTTGTTAGATTAATCAGTTAGATTTCCCAACATTGAGATTAACCAATTGTCGGATTAACCTATTAGATTAACTAGTTGTTAGATTAACCAGTTGTAAGATTAATCAGTTAGATTTCCCATCATTGAAATTAACCAATTGTCAGATTAACCTGTTAGATTAATTGGTTGTTAGACTAACCAGTTAGATTAAGCAGTTGTTTGGTTAACCAATTAGTATATTCAGATATTAGATTAATCAGTTAGATTAACCAGTTGGATTTACCTGTACTTCAACACTAACCAGTACAACTAGTCAGACTAAGCAGCAGACTGATCAACTGTTTAACGAGTTGGTTTGGTTTGTAATGAACAGCTGAAGCTGCAGCTCAGAGGATTCACCGGGATCCTTAACCTCTTTATTAATTTAGACCAGTTGGAACTTAATAACTAGTCATCTCTGACACGTAAGATCAGCGAGTTGACATCAACCAGTTTAACTCAGCACCACTTAGTTTAAATAAGACAACGACTCACATGAAACAGTCTGTGGTTAAATAAATGACCAGTGTGAACTAACCAGTTAATGATCACTGAGCTGGGAACTCAACTTGACCAAACCGTTTTACGAACTCTTGTTTTCATTTCAGAAAGAATTGCTTTTGTTCGGAGCTCTCGGTGGTTGAGTTTAAAGTGGCTCCGGGACAACGTGCTGAAGGTTTTCATTGATCAGTAACTCCAGCAGCAGCTCCGACTGTTTGTTCAACACAAACTTTTATTCACAACTTCCTGTCACTGATTGGCAAACAAGATACAAACTGCTGACCAGGTCACGAACAATTCAAGGAAAGTCCCAACGATGACCGGATCAACTGCCGTCACGTTATTATTCTACCTCCGTGACGTTTTTAAATGTTTTCATCTTCGTAGTTTTAAAAACACTTTTCAAACCATGAAAGTTCGTCCTTCACTGTTTTCTGGTTCCTACACCAGTGAACGAACAACAAGGCAGTCCAAAGAACGGGGAGATTCTTTTATTACAGAACACCAGAACCAGCTGAATTAAATGAACAACTATTTGAACATTAACCAAACTTAAACATTTTCAGGCTCAGTGAGGCCAGAAAAACATAAATAATTATGATGGTTGTCGCTCGACCAAAGTGGACCTTTGACTGCTGGGTGGAAAGTCCTGATTTTAATCCAACATGGTCCGGTTCTTCTGTCAGGACAACTTCAAACCCAAAGTTGAAAATAAAAGTTAGAGCCATGATGACAGTTCAGGTCTGTTCTGTTTCATGAAACCCGGGGGATCTGTGACGTGGAGCCGTTTGATGACGTTCAGAAAAGTCCATGTATCGACAGAACTCCTCAGGAGCAACAGTCGGCTGTAAAACTGTCTGAAGCTTTTGGACCCTGATGTTCCCACGTGAGCACGAGTGTTTTCTGCTTGAAAACTTTGGCAGCTTTTCCCAGAAACAGGTCCTTGCTGCCGCAGCAGGTGCATCTGGGACTCGGTGCACGTGTCTCCCTGTGAAATGAGGTTAAAACAAACACAGAAAGTTTCTTTTGGGCTCAACGGGCCTCTCTGCTGCCTTGGAGTTTTGCCGGATCAGTTCCCTCATTGTTCTGCGTTACTTCTTTCAGAACTACAGGGTTCCAACTGAAGCATATTAGCCTCTCTGAACTGGTCTAAACTGGTCTAAATGCTGTAAAACGGTTTGTAAACCAGTTAAAGTTCAGGTAAAGGAATAAACAACGAGTCCACAGTCGTTAGTATGTCTCAATGAGGTCGGACTTGTTCTGAGTGTAAATTAAAACTGTTTGGAGATCTAATGGTTGATGATGGATATATCAGACATGTCAATCCTTAGAGTTAAAAAGTTTAAAACTCTTAGTGTCGACTCCTTGTTCCAACACTGACGGTTGATTTGGTTTGATTAGCTGGCACCTGAAGAGCTTGGATCTCCATGAAACACCCAATTCCTTTTCCAAACATGAAGTTTTGTTTTCCCTGTCTGTAGGAGGCGGCCTGTGCTTACGTCATCGCCCTCATGGCGGTGTACTGGTGCACCGAAGTTTTACCGCTGGCGGTGACGGCGCTGCTGCCAACCATCCTGTTCCCGGCGCTCGGCATCATGGAGTCCAAAAATGTAAGACTGGACACACACAGACACTGACCTGTCCGGTGGAGTACCTCAGGGTTCTGTTTTAGGACCAGTTCTCCAATGTCACATTATTGTTGACTTTAGCAGCAGGTTTTACAACTCATGTATGCAGATGATATTCAGATATACTGTGCCTTTAGGAGATTTACTCGAGAACCTCTCAGACTCTTGTTAAACAATATTTATACCTTCAGTTCAACTCCAATCATTTCCCTCTAAGCAATTTCAGGCAACTAATTGCCATTTAGACTCAAGTCTGAGGTATTAGGTGTAGTTTTGGACCAATCAGAGTCACTAGAAACAGTCTTTCCAAAACGCCGGTCCGGTTTCTACTTGAAAAGTATTTCTAAATGACGTCTGGTGTTAAAATGTTCACTTTGCATTTGTGTGTTTCCTGCTTCACCTGCGGGATGTTGTGATGTGAATTGTTACTCAGGTGTGCATGCAGTACCTGAAGGACACCAACATGCTGTTTGTGGGGGGGCTGATGGTGGCCGTGGCCGTGGAACACTGGAACCTCCACAAACGGATCGCGCTCAGAGTTCTGCTGCTGGTCGGAGTCCAGCCCGCCCTGTGAGTCGCCTGATCCAGATGTTTGTTTTTTAAGAGATAAAAGTCCTGGTTGATGTTGAACAACTTCTTGTCCCTCAAACATTGAAGGATGAACCTTCATCAGAACCAACCGGTGGTTCTGTCTGTTTTATCTCACCATGGTCCTGTCAGTCAAGGTCCAGTCTGTTAAGACGGTCATTATGTAAAACATTTAAAATGCTGGACTGAAACTCAGAGTTGGATTAAACAAAACAGACTGAACCACTTTCAGGTCCGTGTGGGGTTCTGCGGGCTGGACTCTGGCTGGAACTTAAAGTTTTTCAAATGTAGTAAACAGTCGGTAGAAACTGTTTTTCCTTCTTCCAGACTGATGCTGGGCTTCATGGGAGTGACGGCCTTCCTGTCCATGTGGATTAGCAACACCGCCACCACCGCCATGATGGTCCCCATCGTCCAGGCTGTGCTGGGCCAGCTCAACGGACCAGCTGAACCGGACTGCAAGACCCAGAGCAGGACTGTGTCTCTGCAGCAGGAGCAGAAAACCATCAGTGTAGAGAAAATAACTGCCCCCAACATCCCAAAAGAAGGTGCAGTTGACCTCTGGTGGTCTTCGGGTGTTGTTGTTGTCTTCCATCGTTGTTGCTGTTGTCTTCAGTTGCTGTTGTTGTTGTTTTTGCTGCTGCTGTTGTTGTTGTTGTTGTTTTTGCTGTTGCTGTTTTTGTTATTATTGTTGTTCTTGTTGTTGCTGTTGTTGTTATTGTTTTTGCTGCTGCTGTTGTCTGCCGTTGTTGTTCTTGTTGTCTTCAGCTATTGTTCTAGTCTTCTGTTGTTCTTGTTGTCTTCATTTGTTGTTGTTATTGTTATTGTTTTTGCTGTTGCTGTTGTTGTTATTGTTGTTATTGATGTTGTTGTTGTTGTTGTTGTTGTTACTGTTGTTGTTATTGTTATTGTTATTGTTTTTGCTGTTGTTGTTGTTGTTGTTGTTGTTGTTGTTGCTGTTGTTGCTGTTGTTGCTTTTGTGTTTTTGTCTAAAAATGAAAAATGATCAAAGTTTATGCTCAATATTCGTGGTAACAATCCAACAAAGTTAAGTCAGCTCAAACTGTGTTTGTTCTGAACATAGATATCTGTGACGGGCATCTCTCACTGTTTACTGGAACCAGAACCAGGTGGTTCTGATCCAGCATGGGGACCAGCTGCTCATGTCTGAGTGATGACAAATAAGAAAATGATGAAACGTTTAAAAAAAAAAAAAATTTTTTTTTTTATTTTCTGGTATTTCTAAACAGTTTTCTTTTAATATTTTATCCATCCATCCATCATCTTCCTCTTGTTCTGGACTCAGGTCTTAGGGGCAGCATCTTGAGCAGGGAGCTCCAGACATCTCTTTCCACAGCCTCTTCCAGCTCTTCTGAGAGGACTCAAAGGTGTTCCCAGACCAACTGAGAGACAGTCTCTCCAGTGTGTCCTGGGTCTCCTCCCAGTCAGACATGCCTGAACCACCTCAACTGGCTCCTCTGGATGTGGAGGAGCAGCAGTTCTCCTCTGAGTCTCTCCTGATCACTGAACTTCTCACCCTGTCTCTAAGGGAGAGTCCAGCTGCAGAGGAAACTCATTTCAACCTCCTGGATCCACGATCTCTTTCTTTCAGTCTCTACCAGAGTTCATGACCAGAGGTGAGGGGAGGAACGTAGACCGACCAGTAAACAGAGATCTTTGTCTTGCAGCTCAGCTCCTCTTCACCACAACGGACCAGCACAGAGTCCACAACACTGCAGACGCTGCACCAATCCATCTGTCAATCTCACGCTCCATTCTTCCTTCACTCGTGAACAAAACCCAGAGATGCTTGAACTCCTCCACTTGAGGCAGAACCTCACCCTCAATCTGAAGAGAACAATCCACTCTTTTCTGACTGAGGACCATGACCTCAGATCTGGAGGTGCTGGTTCTCATCCCAGCTGCTTCACACTCGGCTGTGAACCGCTCCAGTGAGAGCTGAAGATCACGGCACGATGACACCAACAGGACCACATCATCTGCAAAGAGCAGAGATGAATCCTGAGGCCACTGAGCCGGACTCCCTCAACCCTCTGGCTGCACCGAGAAACTGTCCATAAAAGTTCTGAAGAGAATCTGTGACGATGAGCAGCTGGTGGAGTCCAACTCCCACCCTCAAGGGTCCGACTTATTACCGGCAATAAGAACCAAACTCTCTCACCGCTTGTATAAGGACTGAACATCCTGTAACAATGGGCCTCCAGTCCCATACTCATGGAGCACCTCCCACAGTGCACCTCGAGGAACACGGTCGAACACCTTCTCCAAGTCCAAAAAACACATGTAGACTGGATGGGCAAACTCCCATGAACCCTCGAGGACCCTAGTGAGGGTAAAGAGCTGGTCCCGTGTTCCACGGCCGGGACAGAACCCACATTTTTCCTCCTGGTTCTGAGGTTCAACCAAAGATCAGACTATTTCTAAACTGTTTTCTTTTAATATTTTATATTTGAATAAAATAACTTTATTGTAGTTTGAAACAAAACAAATCCGTTTTTATTCTTTTACTTTTTCTTTCCATTTTAAATGAACGTGTAAACGCTGCAGACAAACACAACCTACGTGTTTTTATTCTCTGTGCGAGCTGCAGGTCGTTAGAGGAGACGTTCTCCTTCCTGCCTCAGATGGGACGACGTCTGTCTCTGTGTTAGTTTAATATTCGAGCTGAGCAGAACCAGGACTTTGAAAACGTGTTTGTGCTCAGAGGTCGTGACGGAGGTCGGAGGCGACGAAGCTCAGGCGGAGCAGTGGAGGGACGAGGAAGAGGAGAAGAAGAAGATGAGTAAAGGCCTCCTGCTCTGTGTTTGCTACGCCGCCAGCATCGGAGGCATCGCCACGCTGACAGGAACCGGGCCGAACCTGGTTCTGATGGGCCAGATGAGCCAGTAGGATCTGAACACGGAAAGATCTCAGATGGTTTGTTCTCTTCTCTGAACTCGTCTTCTCGTCTCAGACTCTTCCCTCAGAACGGAGACGTCATCAACTTCGCCTCGTGGTTTGGGTTTGCCTTCCCCACCATGGTTCTGATGCTGACCCTGGCCTGGTTCTGGTTGCAGTTCCTCTACATTGGCTGCAAGTGAGTCTCCAAAACACCCGTGCAGACTTCCCAGGTGGGCATCCACCCACCTGACCGTGGAGCTGTTTCCTGTTTCCTTCTGCTGCAGCCTGAGGAGGACCTGGGGCTGCGGGTCGGCCCGGTCCCAAAAGGAGAACGCGGCGTACGAGATGATCAGAAGGGAGTACCATCAGATGGGGTCCATGAGTTATGGTGAGGGAAGCGTACTGGCGCTCTTTGTCCTCCTGGTGGTGCTGTGGTTCACCAGAGATCCCCGCTTCATGGACGGCTGGGCCACCAACGTGTTCAACGCCCAGGCAGAGTGAGTTTCAGAGACGGGTCGAGGTCCGACACCAGTCAGAAGCTCTGGGCCTTAAGAGTCTGGTTGTTTTGCATCATTCTGCTGCTGGACCTCAACAGGAACATTCAACATGAGTTCTGATCCTTTTAGAACCGACTCCTGTTCTTTAAAACGACCAGCACATCTTCAGAGTCTACTTGGGTTCTGTGGACCTGGAGGTTTAGAACCGTGTTCCTCTGTAGGAGGTGTTGGGGCACTTCTGAGGACTATCCAGTCCTTTTAGGACCGTGGAGCTCGGTCCTGGTCCAGATGGACTTCACCCGGGCCATTCCTGGTCTCTGAACTGGCCTGAGGTATTCAGAGGATCTTAGTGGTGCAGAGGAGGACGTCTACTTTGGGAACCTTGAGGTCCAAGTTCTGTGTTGTGCAGATGATGTGGTTCTGTTGAGCTCTGAACCAGCCCGGTGAGACATTCTCTCTGGGTCAGGCTGGTTATTGGTCTGCAGTGCAGGTTCCTGAGCGCTGGTCGAACGGAGCAGGAGATTGACCAACCAATCAGGCATTCTGCGACAGTAATGAGGGCGTTGCTCCGGTCTGTTGTGATTTTAAAAAGGAGCTGAGCTACAAACTAAAGTTCTAGAGGTACTGATTCATCTACGGTCCAACTCACACCTGTGGTCCCAAAGTTTGGATCAGATCCTGGAGAAAAGGGGAGGAGCTCCATCATCTGGAGCGAGCTCCGAGTAGAACAGCTGATCCTCACCGAAGGGGGCTGAGCTGAGGAAGTTCAGGCTCTGATTAGGATGGATCCTGGACTAGTTCCACGAGGAGGGGACCCAGAACTCTCTGCAGGGATTACACATCCCTGATGGATGGATGGATGGATGGATGGATGGATGGATGGATGGATGGATGGATGGATGGATGGATG